TCATTTAATCTGACTTCCTCATATTACAGACAGGGAAACTGAAGCCCAGAGAGAGCAGTGACTTGTTCATGGACCCATAGTTGTCAGTTGCCGAGGTGAGACTAGAACCCAGTCCCTCTGCACCCTGACTCTGGGCTCATTATTCCTTCATTCAACAAATATTTCTTGAGCATTCACTTTGTGGCAGATACCAGGCACAGAGACATGAATCTAACAAAGTCTTTTCAGGGACCTACGATCTGCGGGGAGACGGGGAAATAATTACAATGCGGTGTGGCAAGGGAAGTGATGGAAGGAGGCAAAGGGCAGTGAAACTCAGAAAAGCACTGAATGTCCTCCAGAGTCAGGGTAGATTTCAGAGAAGGCGTGCCCGAAGAAGTAAGAATAGAAAAGGCAGAAAAGTGATGAGTAGGTGTTCCAAACAGAATGACTTCCACACGCAAAAGCCCGGAGGCATGAAACAACATGGTATTTCGAGGGAAATGCAAGCAGTACTGTATGGTTTTTCAGGGGAGAGGAGAGGAGAGGTGACAGGGGCCAGCTCAAGGACAGATCTTATTGAGAGCAAGAGAGCAGTATATTAACTAAGGCTGGCTGCTACTATCTTTTTCTCTCTGCTAAATTTTTTTTTCAAATTGGTCAAATATTGTATATCCCCAGATATCCATCCAACAAAAAGTAACAGGTGTTTGGGAGCTAGCACATCTAGCTAATAAATGCACATAATTGCAGCCAAGTCTCTAGAGATACAGAACCACGGAACCCACATAACCATTCTTCTTCTGTCAAATGAATTTATCTCTACATTGTACCTCCCAGCATGTCTGGCTTGCAATGTAGCTCAAATAAAAAGACTGGGACTCATCTCTGCCACTAGCTTCAGCAGTATATTTAACCTCTCTGAGACTCGGCTTCTTCATCTGTAGAAAGGGGGTTATCCACCTCATACTGTTTCTGGGAGAATTAAATGAATTAGCATGCAACACAGTGTCAGGCACATTATCGGTGCTCATTTAATACTACTTGAAGCTGAACCTGTATATATGTGTATATGTACACAAAGATATATAAAATAAAAGGTAAAGAGAGATCAATTTTGTTAGCTTTGAAGGTAAAAGTTGTACCTTCCCCAGCACCTAGTCCTGAGCCTGGGACAGAGTAGGTCCTTTAGAAAATGCTTCCATATTTAAATGAAAATTCATATTTACTGCATTTATTCAATATCATCAAGTTGTTTGCTGCAAAAGAGAACTTACTGCATACACTAAATCTTCTCTTTTCAGGTGCCAACATTTGGCTACCGTTTTCAATGGAACACTTTTGTAGATATTATAAAAGAGGCTGACCTCTTATATAGAGAATCTTAAGCAAAAATTAAATTTCTTGGAGAGTCAGGCTCTCTATTAGACTCTAATATACGCCAGAAGTGAAGTTTTGCTTTCAAAATGTTCTGTCTCCGCTGTTCCTGCTCTGCTCCCTGAGGTCAACGTGTTTGCCTCTAGCAATCCATCCAGCTCTCAAGTGACCAGTGGACCTATCTCCTTACTTATCTGCCTGCCAGCTTCCCTTTTCTCTTTCTGCCTGCCAGTCTGCCACATAGACCACAGTCACTCAAGTATTTACCAACTGGTAACGAGCCTTGTGGGGTGGTGAACAGCACTGGATAAGATTCTGAGCCTTCCCACCCATTTCTGCATGTGACTTGAGCCAATCACTTGTCTGAATCTGTGCTCTCATCTGTAAGTAAGGATGGTATCTAAACTCTTTAAAGAAAGAAACATTGTACACATAGTTGGTGCTCAATTAATGTTGTCGAATGATAGATTGGCATGAGGACCAAATTACTTGATAATACACATAATTATTTTTATTGCCATTGAATGGGTATACCTCTAGTGGCTCCTCCATTCATTTTGTAGGTTGTCATACCTAATCAACTATACCCTTGGAAGCAGATAGCCAAGTTTGTTTAAAAAGTGGGCATTAATAAGAGCCTATATGCTAGAATTAGAAGAGAATACAAGTCGTTCACTTAAATATTCACAGAGCACCTATCCTGTGCCAGTGTGACTGCTCAATGCCAGGGTCCTAACAAGACATAATTCCTTGAGCCCTCAAGCCCTCAAGGAAAACACAGTCTAATGAGAGAGAGAGGCAAATAAAGTGCCTGCTTTTCTTATTTTATATTTCTTGATTTTTTCAAAGTAAAATCATTTATTATAGAAAATGTAGAAAGCCCAGAGGAAGCAAATAAGCACTAAAAACACCCATAAATCTACCTCCCAGAGATGACCATTGTCACCATTTTGATATATTTCCGTCTCGCCTTTTTTCTTTTTTTCTCCTATGTGTTGACGATGGCCCCTTCTCTTGCCTCCACATCCCTGCAGCCTCTGGAGAGATGCTTGCCATCAGTTTGTACTTGAGCCGTGGAAAGGCCAGCTGGATCAGGCCTCTTTGGTTTGGGCATCCATCCAGGGTGATTCTTCCCCAGGCTCAGCATGTCCAAGTAGCCACAATCCACAGACGGTCTCAATCGCTTATCAGTCCGAGGCCTGAACAGCAGGCTGTTCCTCAGCCCTGCTGGGCTGTCCTCAGTGGGTCTGAGCCAACTGGGCACAGAAGCCCTTTGTGTGAGAATGTCTCCGTGGCCAAGTTTTCATGGTCAAGTCTGAGGGCTGACAGAATTAACAGTAACATTCACACACACACANGTACAAGTTATTTGTGTTTTCTTAGAGACAACAAGATGCAGCTAAGGCTGACCAAGACTGATAGGAACAGAGAGGGAACACCAGGGGTTAACTCCTGTAGTCCTCCTCCCCACCTGATACCTGAATCCCACCATTTGTTCACTACATGTGCTATTTGAGTCACTAATACATTAATGCTCCACCCCGCCCTTCCCTATGAGAATTAAGTTCTGAAAACCACCATGGGGATGTATGGTTGAAAGTCATGAGGCATTCTCATAAAAGTAGATGGAAAAAATATGGTTGTGGGGTCTAAGCCTTTATATATATTTATGTTTAGTAAAATAAAATAATAAAATAAGCTCACCAAGTAGAGAGACTAGCAATACCATTTTACACTTCTTGAATTAGTAATGAGGCTATTGAACAATCAATTTCCATTTACCCTTTTTTAGTGCCCAAACTTTTTAGACTCTCCCTTGCAGTTGCAAGGAGATGCTGATAAATTTGTTTTGCTTTGGCATAGATGGCATGTAGACAAAGAGGCATTCTTTTTGGGACCTGGCACTCCATCCAAACATTCAGTGCATTTCTGGTTTTGTGCCTCTCAGTTGCTGACTCCAACTTCCTGGGCCCACCATGGTCCCAGAGTCACAGGGCAATTTGGCAGCTTGAGATAGAAGAGTCCTTGGGGGTAGCCAGTATTTCATCTCCTCCCTTCTGCTGAATAGCTATTTCTCAAGTCCCCCTCCCCAATATCTAGAGCTATTGCCTTAACTCTGCCCATGAAAACCCCACATCAACATACTTCCAAGAAGAGCATCCTGAGCTGGCTCTGTCATCTCCTGTTACTCAAGCCTCATGAATCAACTGCCTCCCACCAAGAGGCCCAGGGGGTGGGTTTGCTTTTTATGTTCTTCCCCTGTCTCTCTCAAGATCTCAGTGTTAGACAGGCCAGGAAGTCTCAGTGACCACAGCACTCACCACTCCTGAACCAGGGCCCCAGGAGGTTCTTTCTGCCTAAAGTTTCCAGGCTTGAATGAAATGGATACCACTTCCCTGACCATAGTTGACCTGATGAAGGATAAGGATTGGTGCCAAAGTCAAAAGAGTAGTTATTATGTGTTAAGCTCTCATGTGGCTCCCTAAAAATTTCACCTCATTTACTCCCATGGACAATGCTATGAGATAAATGTTGTTAGTTTTGTTTTGCATCTAGTAGGTGCTGGGCCTGCGATGTGAACCCAAATCTATCTGATTTCAAACACTGCTGTTTCCTCTGGAAAAGAGCTCCCTCAGGAAGCTCTTCTACAGGAAAATGTGCTATGAAGAACAAAAAATTATATAATCAAAAAATAGCTACTGTTTAGCAACCATATGTCAGGCATTGAGTGTTGCACATGCATTATCTCATTGTAGTCTCGTAATAGCTCTATGACAAATGCCCTATTTTTTTCCCCTTTCAAAAGATGAGGAAAGTGAAGCTCAGAAACTTGTCCAAGGGCCCAGTTTGTATCTAAGTGGGTAAGCCAGGCTTGGACCCAGGCCTATACAACACCAAAATCTGTTCTTTTAATTCCTATACTATATGGCTTCCCCTAAGGTCATGTGTGTGAAAAGCCCTTTATAACGTAAAGGGTGTGCAGGAAATATAAGTCATACTACTCTACAGTTTGTACTTTACAATTTGTAATTGATAAAGTTATTTGTGTATAATTTGAGTAATGTCTGTCTTCCCTACAAAACTGGTAAGTTCCATAATGATTTTACCTACCGCTGTGTTCTGGTATCTAGTACAGAGTAAATAACCAATATATTTGTTAAATGACTGAGTGGATGCAGAATCATGCCTTTTGCCTACACCATAAGATTCTCAGCCTTACAAATGGATTAATTCATTTATTAATCCTTTTGACAAATGTTAATTGAGTCTAACAAGCATGTAGAAATGGTTGGACAACTTTGACCTTGAACTTTACAGCAGGAGAGNACCCCCAAAGGGGTCGCGACTCACAGGTCGAGAACCGCTGTATCTAATGTATGTGTGCTTAAGCAAGTCACTTCATTTTCTGAGCATGTTTCCTTATCCATAAAATAGAGATCATCACACACTGCTCATGAAGGCTGCCAGAAGGATCAGTAGCTACTCAGCCAATGTGAGTTGCTTCCCTCTTCTTTCCATGCTTTTTTGGGTACCAATAGTTAGCTGGACACCTCCCTGAGGGATTGATGCCCCCAGTCTCTGCTCCATTGTTCCCAGCCTCCTCCTCCCATCCCCACCTGCTTCCCAGCCAAACACCTTCTGACCTCAGGTTTACTATCTTCAGGATCTTCTACTGGCAGGTGTTCATCCCATTTCCTTGGTTTTTGGGCCCAGGGGTCCTTTATCTTCCTGGGAGGCAGGAAGTCCCAGTCATTCTCCAGATCCCTAGTGGCTACTTGCTTGTTATTGATTTTGACCTCATAAGTAGCACTGGGGCGAATGATCAGAGTGTATAGGTGAGTGTCTTTGTTGATCTAGAAAGAGAATGGGCAATACTTTAGTTCCACGTTGGACATTTTTAGATCTCAAGCATTCGATGCACCACCTCAAACAGACTCTGAGTTCCTGAATGCCACCCCCACTTATTCACAAACACACTTCACCACATCCCTCATCCCATTTCTCTGGTTAACCCAATAGAGATTCTGGGTATCATCCTCCTAAGCACACACCCTTCTATCTCCCCTATCTTCCATCCTTCTCCACATCACAGCTCTGGTCATTCTCTGATCTTGTCTGTTTTTCTGTCTGTCCCACTAGACTGTGAGCTTCTCAATGACCATGTCTAATTCATCTGTTGTGTTTGCGCTTCTAGCATAAAGCCTAGCCTAGAGGAGGACCTCAAGGAGCCTCTATAGAAAGAGGCGAGAAGCGCAAGTATGTACAACCCTTGTACAGTCCTCCTAGGGAAGGTCTTAAGCTTGAGCACAAGACCTCCAATGACCCAGGCCCTGTGGGCTTCTCGAGACTTAGTTCCTGACTCTCTCTTGCACTCTAGCTATACCAAACTTCTTGCAGTGTCACTCTTTCTCAAGTCTTCTTGACTTTTCTGATGTGATTATCTCTTCTAGAAATTCAGTCCTACCTAAAATTGTCACACTACTTCACAAGACCAAGTCATGTTCATCTTTCAAACCTCAGCATGGGGGAAACATCCTCTAGGAAGCATTTCCTAAGTCTTCAGATCAGGTAAGGGGGCCTCCTCTGTGCTTACACAGACTCTGATCAGACTAGGTGGTCACTCTCCTTTGCTTGACTCTTACCTTCACTGGACTGTGAGTTCTGTGAAGTCAGGGGCCATCTCTGGCTCACTATGCCCAGCCCAAGGCCCAGCAAAGAGTTAGCATTTGGTGAATGCCTGTTGAGTTGCTCATGAAATCCAGCTACTCTCCTCTAGTCAACCTAAGTCTCTCTATCCTGACATTACTAAGATAAATCCATGCCCAATTTTTAAGCCCAGCATTCGCCACCTGCACCATTCCTTCCAATATCTAGCAGTGGGAACTGGGCTATGCCAAACATTGTTCCAAGAGAAGGCCTTATATGTCTTCCTAGACTTTTGGATCGACTGCTCCTATGTGAACTCCTAT